GGCGGTGGTCCCGGTCACTTGACGGCGCCCAGCTTCTGCAGCAGCCTCTTGCCTTTGAAAAGCAGCCCCTTTTTCTTCCTCGAGGACACGCCCCTGCCTCTCCCGGGACCACCTGTACCCACAGACGGCGCAGGAGACCCCGCGTGGAGACGGGCTGTGGGGGACGGCGCTCTCCTGGCCGGGCCTGCCCCCTCGGGAGGCACCTGGTAGGTACAGTGACAGTTTACTGAGTGTGTCAGCGCCGCCCGCCAGCCCGGCCCACCCGCCCGCGAAGGAAGGAGGGATGGTGGGTGTTTTCTTCTTTCAAGTGGGGGCGCCAGGAGCAGCCCGCCCAGCGCCTCGGGGACACGGGCGGGGTGCCCCTCACGCGGGCAGGACGGGGCTGGGGGTCACTTCCTGGTACATGAAGACCCGATCGAGGGGTGGGGGCTGTAACCCTGGTGAGTGCTCATCTCAAAGCGGATGCACTCAGCGTGAGTCTTGTCTTTGAAAGCGACGGCCCCTGGTCGGCCGAGCGCCCGGGGTAGGAAGGTTGGGGATGGCACACCGGTTGAAAGAAAAACAAAACTAAAGTGAACCTTAATTGCAATCAAAGAAAGCTTCCCGGCCTCCGTGGGCAAGGCCTCCGTGGGCGCTGCGCGGCCTGCACGGCACTGGGGTCTCGGTGGGATCTTGTCCGTCGTGAGCACACGGTCAAGTGCTGAGCTCACGGGCACTGTGGCCCCGCCTGACGGGACCTGGCCATCCCCCAATCCTGACCTCTGACCTCTGACCTCTGACCTCCGGGGAGCGTGCAGGATTCAGCAGCCACGGCCAGCCACGGGGCTTCAGCTTGCTTGGATTTAGAATCAAGGTCTAACTCTAATGGAAACTCGGCAAGCACCCACGGTCACTGAAGATACCGCGGCCCCGTCTGGGCGGCCATCTCGGAGCCGCGTGTCTCGGGAGCGGGTATTGCATTGGCAGCCACCCGGCGCCTCTCCCCCGCACCAGACGGAGGTGGGGACTGGAGGAGACGCCATGCGGGCAGTGGAACGCGACTCCGGGCCGGCCTGCCCACTGCCCAGCTGCCTGAGCTCCAGCCGCACTTTTACAAGGAAATCTTCCAGGCCCTGGCCGGTGTGGCTCAGTGGATAGAGCACCAGCCTGGGGACTGGAGTCCCGGGTTCGATTTCCAGGCAGGGCAGATGCCTGGGTTGTGGGCTCGATCCCCAGTAGGGGGTGTGCAGGAGGCAGCCGAGCCATGATTCTCATCATTGATGTTTCTCTCCCTTTTCCCTTCCTCTCTGAAGTCAATAAAAATATGTATTTTTAAACATTTATATAAGGAACCTCCCGTAAACACGTTGGCGAGGTTGTGCTTTTTCCGAGAGCGGCTGACAATGCAACACGCAGCCGCGGGGGAGACACGGGCTCGCGGGAAACATGCCCCCTAACCGAGGCCAGTGGTCGTCCGGGGACATATTTCCTTCTCGGCCCCGTGACCCCGGCGTCCACCGCGGAGCCCGCTGGGCGGCTCGGGGCATCTAGGTATCTTCAGCTGCTCACTTACGTGAAGGCTACTTTGCCTGATTAAGGTGTGAAATGCACACTCTTCTTCTGTTCCCAAGCAGATGAGCGAAGGAATAAGAATAGATGATATAAAAACAGAACGAGAACCCGCAGCGATGACGCAAAACAAAATGAGGCGCGACACGTGGGTGTCCTCCGTCCCTCCGGGAGCCGCGGGCGTCTGCTCTCTGGGGGGGACCGC